GTTTGGAGTCAGACATTTAAAATCAATGGAGAATATCTGCTGATTGTCGTCAGACGGCAGAATATGTTCTGCAGCTTTCGATGCACAGATCGTGCTCATCGGGAGGAACTAACTGAGACAGAAATAAATCCGAGTTAAAGCACGTCAAGGTGATTTGAGATGGTGCTGGAGGCCGAAGGAGACAATAAAAGGAGGCTTATTTAGCTTTTCTTGCCTTCTTCTACGACAACAGGTTGAGATAACTGATGTTTGCTTCTGGTTCCTTCAGGAGAAGCAGGAACGAGCCATCGGACTGCTGGTGTCTCTGGGACCTCAGCCGGGCTCGGAGGTGACGCCGTGGTACCTGAAAGGCAGCAAAGAGAAAGAGGAGAGGCCTGATAAAGACAAGAGGAAGCTGGTGAGTGAAGAGGAGCGAGAGAAGAAGGATCGCAGGCTGAAGGACAGTTTGGATCCTTTAAAGGATATGAAGAAAGCTCTCGGAGTTAAAGACAGGAGGCAGCACAAGAAGAAGGAGAGACGAGACAAAGGAGAGAAGAGGAGCGCTGGAGAGAGGTGAGAGCTTTACTCGTTTATTGTCCTTTTTCTAATGTGCATTAATGCTCCAGCTGTAGTCAAGTGAAACTTCTCTGACTGATACATGAAGGTCCATCCCATCTTCCTGCAGCTCCATAGAAAGGCTGCGAGCCGAGCGTCTGCAGAGGGAAGCCGAGGAGCGAAGGAGAGCGAAGGCTCTTCTGGAGCAGCGAAGCGGCAAAAGGAAGGATCCCGGGGCCGAGTTAAATGAACGGGAAAGGCCGTACAACAGCGCCTACTTCCCAGAGCTCGCCCGCAAGAGGCAGCGGAGGGATCGGGACAGCTGGAGGGACGAGATTCTGAAATCTTGAGCCGCTTCTTCTGGTCTGCAATCTCCGGTGGGTGGTTCAATCCTCCAAACGCCGAAACACGCCGGCAGGTTTCAGAGTGGACAAACTGACGCCGTTCATTAGCCAGAAACTGAACAAACAGACTCTGAACTTCCTGACTGTCCACGAACATGTTGATGTTTGATGTGTGGTTCCGTGTGGAGAACAAATCCTGGCTCACTATCAGACATTCAGAAAGCTAAATATGTTCTGCAGCTTTCACTAGACAGAGCGTGATCACCTGGAGAATCTAATCCAGACCGGTAGTACACATGAGCTGATCCAGGTTTGTTCACCAGGTCTCAAGAAATGTCAAGAGAACCAGAAGAAAGAGAATAAATGACACAGAGAAAGTGATTTATTTGGGTTTTTTATAAGCTTAAAGTCTCTTTATTCTACATGTGTCATTTAGAAAATAACAAATACACTGCTGGCTCCAACAACATCTTTCTACATCTGATGG